CACGAGAGTGTCCCTAGAGACGCCATCCCCCCTGGGAGGGCCCCTGGATCATGACTACTCTTGGGAGGGCCCCTGGATTGCCCCTGTGGACGCCACTGCCCCTACGAGGGTTTTGGGGGGCGCCACCGCTTTAAGAGGGCCCCTGGGGAATCCAATGTCCCTGGTAGGGCCCCTGGGACACTGCTGTTCCTTGGAGGGTACCTAAGGCGCAACTGCCCCTGGGCAGCCCCCTCCACCACCCTTGGGAGGGCTCCTGGAAGTTTCAACTTCCCCCCCGCCCCCCCCACTTGCTGGCCCCGACACCCCTGAGTGGGCCCCTGAGAGCGCCGACTCCCCTGGCAGGGCTCCTAGGGGCGTTTAACCCGGTAGGGCAAATAGCAGGAACCCAGGAGACACTGTCCCTGTAAGACCCGTGGGGGCAGTTTTTTTTTGCACTATTTAGAACAATGGGAGGCGATATGACGTTAAATAAACACACCGCCCATCGCATTTCCAGTATATTAGCACCATGAACAATGTAAAGGAGAAGAAATATCCAACAGCAAAACATAAGTTGGGGTGTTGTGCTGACTGACTGCTCTGTTCTCCTATTGGCTGATAGTTGGTGGATTTACATTTTAGTCCACCAATCATAGTTAAGTAAGGAATTGCTGGACATATGCAATATGTATGACAACACGACCAACCAAGCTTTAAGACTCCTGAGAGGGGGCGCCTCTGGTAGGGCCACTGGCGGCGCCACCGCCCCTGGGAGGGCCCGTGGTGGAGCCACTGTCCCTAGCAGGGCTTCTGGTGGCACCGTTGTCCCTGCGAGGGTCCCTGTTGGCGCCACTGCACCTCAGAGAGTCTCTGAGGGCAGCAGCGCCCCTGGCAGGGCCCTTGGTGATATCACTGCCCCTGGCAAGGCCACTGTCGATGCCACCGCATCTGTGAGGTGCCCTGGGGGCGAGGCTGTCCACGAGAGAGTCTCTAGAGACGCCATCCCCCCTGGGAGGGCCTCTGGAGGCATGACTACTGTTGGGAGGGCCCCTGGATTGCCCCTGAGGAAGCCACTGCCCCTAGGAGGGTTTTTGGGGGCGCCAACGCCCCTGAGAGGGCCCCTGGGGAACCCAATGTCCCTGGTAGGGCCCCTGGGACACTGCTGTCCCTTGGAGGGTACCTAGGGTGCAACTGTCCCTGGGCGGTCCCCTCCACCGCCCTTGACAGGGCTCCTAGAAGTTTCACCCCCACCCCCTGCTGGCCCCGACACCCCTGAGTGGGCCCCTGGGAGCGCGGACACCCCTGGCAGGGCTCCTGGGGGCGTTTAACCTGGTAGGGCAAATAGCAGGGCCCCAGAAGACACTGTCCCTGTAAGACCCATGGGGGCAGTTTTTTTTACACTATTAGAACAATGGGAGGAGATATAACGTTAAATAAATACACTGCCCATCGCATTTCCAGTATATTAGCACCATGAACAATGTAAAGGAGAATAAATATCCAACAGCAAAACATAAGTTGGGGTGTTGTGCTGACTGACTGCTCTGTTCTCCTATTGGCTGTTATTTGGTGGAATTCCATTTAAGTCCACCAATCATAGTTAAGTAAGGAACTGCTGGACATATGCAATATGTACGACACCACGACCAAACAAGCTATTGAGCTCCTGGGAGGGGGCGCCATTTGTAGGGCCACTGGGGACGCCACCGCCGCTGGGAGAGCCCCATGGGCCGCCACTGTCCTTGGGAGGGCCCCTGGAAGTTCCGCCGTCACTGGGAGGGCTGCTAGAGTCCCCGACACCCCTTGGAGGGTCCGTGGAAGCCACGATGCATCTGGGAGGGCCCCTGGGGCACTGCACCTGGTAAGGCATATGGCAGGGCCCCAGGGGGCACTGTCCCTATAGGGCCCCTGGGGGTAGTTGTTTCTACACTATTTAGAACAATGGGAGATATGACGTTAAATAAATACACTGCCCATCGCATTTCCAGTATATTAGCACCAAGAACAATGTAAAGGAGAACAAATATCCAACAGCAAAACATAAGTTGGGGTGTTGTGCTGACTGACTGCTCTGTTCTCCTATTGGCTGTTATTTGGTGGATTTACATTTTAGTCCACCAATCATAGTTAAGTAATGAATTGCTGGATATATGCAATATGTACGACACCACGACCAACCAAGCTATAAGACTCCTGGGAGGGGGCGCCTCTGGTAGGGCCACTGGTGACAAAACCGCCCCTAGGAGGGCCCCTGGGGGAGCCATTGCCCCTGGCAGGGATTCTGGTGGCACCATTGTCCCTGTGAGGGTCCCTGTTGGCGCCACTGCATCTCAGAAGGCCTCTGGGGGCAGCACCGTCTCTGACAGGGCCCTTGTTGATGTCACTGCCCCTGGCAAGACCACTGTGGATGCCACCGCATCTAGGAGGTGCCCTAGGGGCGACGCTGTCCACGAGAGTGTCCCTAGAGACACCATCCCCCCTGGGAGGGCCCCTGGATCATGACTACTCTTGGGAGGGCCCCTGGATTGCCCCTGTGGACGCCACTGCCCCTACGAGGGTTTTGGGGGGCGCCACCGCTTTAAGAGGGCCCCTGGGGAATCCAATGCCCCTGGTAGGGCCCCTGGGACACTATTGTTCCTTGGAGGGTACCTAAGGCGCAACTGCCCCTGGGCAGCCCCCTCCACCACCCTTGGGAGGGCTCCTGGAAGTTTCAACTTCCCCCCCCGCCTTCCCCCCACTTGCTGGCCCCGACACCCCTGAGTGGGCCCCTGAGAGCGCCGACTCCCCTGGCAGGGCTCCTGGGGGCGTTTAACCCGGTAGGGCAAATAGCAGGAACCCAGGAGACACTGTCCCTGTAAGACCCGTGGGGGCAGTTTTTTCTTGCACTATTTAGAACAATGGGAGGAGATATGACGTTAAATAAACACACCGCCCATCGCATTTCCAGTATATTAGCACCAAGAACAATGTAAAGGAGAATAAATATCCAACAGCAAAACATAAGTTGGGGTGTTGTGCTGACTGACTGCTCTGTTCTCCTATTGGCTGTTATTTGGTGGATTTAGATTTTAGTCCACCAATCATAGTTAAGTAAGGAATTGCTGGACATATGCAATATGTATGACAACACGACCAACCAAGCTTTAAGACTCCTGAGAGGGGGCGCCTCTGGTAGGGCCACTGGCGGCGCCACCGCCCCTGGGAGGGCCCGTGGTGGAGCCACTGCCCCTGGCAGGGCTTCTGGTGGCACCGTTGTCCCTGCGAGGGTCCCTGTTGGCGCCACTGCACCTCAGAGAGTCTCTGAGGGCAGCAGCGCCCCTGGCAGGGCCCTTGGTGATATCACTGCCCCTGGCAAGGCCACTGTGGATGCAACCGCATCTGTGAGGTGCCCTGGGGGCGACGCTGTCCACGAGAGAGTCTCTAGAGACGCCATCCCCCCTGGGAGGGCCTCTGGAGGCATGACTACTGTTGGGAGGGCCCCTGGATTGCCCCTGAGAAAGCCACTGCCCCTAGGAGGGTTTTGGGGGGCGCCAACGCCCCTGAGAGGGCCCCTGGGGAACCCAATGTCCCTGGTAGGGCCCCTGGGACACTGCTGTCCCTTGGAGGGTACCTAGGGTGCAACTGCCCCTGGGCGGTCCCCTCCACCGCCCTTGACAGGGCTCTAGAAGTTTCACCCCCACCCCCTGCTGGCCCCGACACCCCTGAGTGGGCCCCTGGGAGCGCGGACACCCCTGGCAGGGCTCCTGGGGGCGTTTAACCTGGTAGGGCAAATAGCAGGGCCCCAGAAGACACTGTCCCTGTAAGACCCGTGGGGGCAGTTTTTTTTACACTATTAGAACAATGGGAGGAGATATAACGTTAAATAAATACACTGCCCATCGCATTTCCAGTATATTAGCACCATGAACAATGTAAAGGAGAATAAATATCCAACAGCAAAACATAAGTTGGGGTGTTGTGCTGACTGACTGCTCTGTTCTCCTATTGGCTGTTTTTGGTGGAATTCCATTTTAGTCCACCAATCATAGTTAAGTAAGGAATTGCCGGACATATGCAATATGTACGACACACGACCAACAAGCTATAAGACTCCTGGGAGGGGCGCCTCTGGTAGGGCCACTGGTGACAAAACCGCCCCTAGGAGGGCCCCTGGGGGAGCCATTGCCCCTGGCAGGGATTCTGGTGGCACCATTGTCCCTGTGAGGGTCCCTGTTGGCGCCACTGCATCTCAGAAGGCCTCTGGGGGCAGCACCGTCTCTGACAGGGCCCTTGTTGATGTCACTGCCCCTGGCAAGACCACTGTGGATGCCACCGCATCTGGGAGGTACCCTGGGGGCGACGCTGTCCACGAGAGAGTCCCTAGAGACGCCATCCCCCCTTGGAGGGCCCCTGGAGGCATGACTACTCTTGGGAGGGCCCCTGGATTGCCCCTGTGGACGCCACTGCCCCTACGAGGGTTTTGGGGGGCGCCACCGCTTTAAGAGGGCCCTGCGGAATCCAATGTCCTTGGTAGGGCCCCTGGGACACTGCTGTTCCTTGGAGGGTACCTAAGGCGCAACTGCCCCTGGGCAGCCCCCTCCACCACCCTTGGGAGGGCTCCTGGAAGTTTCACCTTCCCCCCCCCCCACTTGCTGGCCCCGACACCCCTGAGTGGGCCCCTGAGAGCGCCGACTCCCCTGGCAGGGCTCCTGGGGGCGTTTAACCCGGTAGGGCAAATAGCAGGAACCCAGGAGACACTGTCCCTGTAAGACCCGTGGGGGAGTTTTTTCTTGCACTATTTAGAACAATGAGAGGAGATATGACGTTAAATAAACACACCGCCTATCGCATTTCCAGTATATTAGCACCATGAACAATGTAAAGGAGAATAAATATCCAACAGCAAAACATAAGTTGGGGTGTTGTGCTGACTGACTGCTCTGTTCTCCTATTGGCTGTTATTTGTTGGAATTACATTTTTGTCCCCCAATCATAGTTAAGTAAGGAAATGCTGGACGTAGGTAATATGTACGACACCACGATCAAGCCCATGTGGGCGCCGACGCCATTGGAAGGGCCCTACTGGCCGCCTGAGCCGACTCCCTTGGATGGGTCCCTGGGGGCACTCCCGCCCCTGGGAGAACCCCTGACGGCGGCGCCACCGCCCCTGTAATGGCCCCTGGGGGCGCCGGCGCCGGGGCCCATGAAAGGGCTTTTGGGGGAGCCACCTCCTTGGTAGGGCTCCTAGGGACGCCACCACTCACGAAAGCGCTCCCGGGGGCACCACCGCCCCTTGGAGCGCCACCGCTCTTTGGAGGGCTCTTGGGGTGCCGCCATCCCTGGGAGGTTCCCTGGGGTGCTGCCACCCGTAAGGAGGGAGGCTTAGAGGGCCCCTGGTTTCGCCACCGCCCCTTGGAGAGCCCTTGTGGTGCCGTCGTCCCTTGGAGGGCCCCTTGGGGCGTCTCCGCCTTTGGGAGAGACCCTGGGGGCACCGCCACCCCTGGGAACACCCTATAGGGCGCAACCGCCCCTTGGAGGCTCCCTGGGTGCGCCATCGCTGTTAGGAGGGCCCCTAGGGTCCCCACCGTCTCTTCCACGCCCTCAATACCCTCTCCTCCACAACTTCAATACCCACTCCCCTCATCCATGCCCTCAATACCCACACCCATTCTCCACTCCCTCAATACCCACACCCTTCTCCATACCTACACCCCTTTCTCCACGCCCTCAATAGCCAAAACCCTCCTCCACGCCCTCCTCACCCACACCCCTCCTCCACGCCCTCCATACCAACACCCCTCCTCCACGCTCTCCTTACCCACACCCCTCCTCCACGCTCTCCTTACCCACACCCCTCCTCCACGCTCTCCATACCCACACCCCTCCTCCACGCCTCCATACCCACACCCCTCCTCCACGCTCTCCTTACCCACACCCCCTCCCCACGCCCTCCATACCCACACCCTCCCTCCCTTACCCTCCTTACCCCACCCTCCTCCACCCTCCTTACCCACCCCTCCTCCACGCTCCTCCCCACCCCCTCCTCCACGCCTCCCATCCCACCCCCCTCCTCCACGCCCCTCCATACCCACACCCTCCCACGCTCTCCTTACCCACCCCTCCTCCACGCCCTCCTCACCACACCCTCATACCCACACCCCTCCTCCACGCCCTCCTTACCCACCCTCCTCCACCCCTCCTTACCCACACCCCTCCTCCACGCTCTCCATGCTCACACCCTCCTCCACGCTCTCCTTACCCACACCCCTCCTCCACGCTCTCCCTACCCACACTCCTCCTCCACGCTCTCCCATACTCACACCCCTCCTCCACGCCCTCCTCACCCACACCCCTCCTCCACGCTCTCCTTACCCACACCCTCCTCCACGCTCTCCATACTCACACCCTCCTCCACGCCTCCTTACCCACACCTCCTCCACGCTCTCCATACCCACCCCTCCCTCCACGCCTCGCCTTACCCACACCCCTCCTCCAAGCTCTCCATACCCACACCCCTCCTCCACGCCCTCCATACCCACACCCTCCACGCTCTCCTTACCCACACCCCTCCTCCACGCCCTCCATACCCACACCCATCCACGCTCTCCTTACCCACACCCCCTCTCCACCCACACCCTCCCTACCCACCCCTCCTCCACTCCTCCACACCTCCATACCCACACCCCTCCTCCACGCCACCCACACCCTCCTCCTCCCTCACGCTCCTCCTCTCTCTCCACTCCACCCCTCCTCCACGCCTCATACCCACACCCCTCCTCCACGCTCTACCCACACCTCCTCCACGCTCTCCATACTCACACCTCTCCTCACCCACACCCCTCCTCCACTCCTCTCCCTCACCCCCCTCCACGCTCTCCTTACCCCACCCCCTCCTCCACGCTCTCCCTACCCACACCCCTCCTCCACGCTCTCCTTACCCACACCCTCCTCCCGCCCTCCTTACCCACCCCTCCTCCGCCCTCCCTACCCCACACCCTCCACGCTCTCCTTACCCACACCCTCCTCCACGCCTCCTTACCCACACCCCCTCCTCCACACCCTCCTCCACGCTCTCCTTACCCACACCCCCTCCTCCAAGCTCTCCATACCCACACCCCTCCTCCACGCCCTCCACCCCACCCCTCCACGCTCTCCCACCCACACACCCCTCCTCCACGCCCTCCTCACCCACACCTCCATACCCACACCCTCCCTCCACGCCCTCCTTACCCACACCCCTCCTCCACGCCCTCCTTACCCACACCCCTCCTCCACGCCTCCATACTCACACCCCTCCTCCACGCTCCTCCATACCCACACCCTCCCTCCCTTCCATCTCCCTCACCCACCACTCCTCCACGCTCTCCTTACCCACACCCCTCCTCCACGCTCTCCCTTCCTCCCGCCTACCCCTCCCCCCCCTCCTCCACGCCCTCCTTACCCACCCCTCCTCCACACCTCCTTACCCACACCCCTCCTTCTCCATTACACCCTCCTCCACGCTCTCTTACCCACACCCCTCCACGCCTACACCTCCTCCATGCCCTCCTTACCCACACCCCTCCTCCATACCCATAGAAAAATGGGAAATTTCTTCATAGAAAACGGGATTTTTTTTTGTGCAAAATCAGTTATTTTGCAAAATGAGGGTGTGGGTATGGAGGGCATGGGGGAGCGGTGTGGGTACAGAAGGCATGGAGGAGGGGTGTGGGTATGAAGGAGGGTGTGGATATGGGGGGCATGAAGGTATGTGTGGGTATGGAGGAGGGGTTTGGGTATGATGGAGGGTGTGGGTATGGAGGGCATGAAGGTATGTGTGGGTATGGAGGAGGGGTTTGGGTATGATGGAGGGTGTGGGCATGGAGGGCATGAAGGTATGTGGGTATGGAGGGCATGGAGGAGGGGTGTGAGTATGGAGGGGATGTAGGTGGCCAGAAATGCCAAGATTTTCCAGATAATTTTACAGGGTTATATATCTCAGCATTTCCAGAGTTATACTAATACATTCCGAGACCATATCCATGCCGAGTTATCAAATGCTGAGTTGAGGGTTTACTGTATTATATTTACCTGATGACTTATTCTTTACTTTCATTTACTGTCATTTTGTCATTCTATTTCTCCTTTTGTCTTAAATTAAGTGATTTTAGATGTATATAAGGACTCAGGCTATGATATAGTGGGATTTTAAACATTGTTATGTAAGTACAGTATGCACATAGCATGTGTTCCGATTTACGTACAAATCCAACTTAAGAACGTCCTCAGGATAGGAACCTGTTCATTACCCTGGGATCCCCTGTATAATAATGTGACCTTTTATGGGTTAAGCACTATTATCAGAAAACAATAATAATAACAATAAATCCAGTGAAATATGGCAAGAAGGGAGGAGAGTTACAAGAGCTGCCATGGCAGCAAGACACAGACTGAGCGGAATGTAAACAAAACCCATGGAATCAAGCTCAATTTAGTGAAATATATCGGTAAATCATGCAAATATAATGGAAAGGTCGATTTAGCGGAAATTTTGATTTAACGGACAAGGATGCTCGAATTAGTTCGTTAAATCGAGAAGTTACTGTATTATATATACACATGAAACCATTTATTTGTACATGTTTGAGTGCCACTTTCTCTAGATGACAGTCTTAAGTTATGCAGGATTACACATAAATGAAACAAGTTTTCTGAGTTAGAAACTATCTTTTAAGTTCTCTGGTACAGTTTACATGAGAAGTGATGGCTTACACAAACTCTTTGACAGTCACTAACAGTTTAAAAATTCATTGTATGAATTTCTCTAAATAACTTTAAAAATGACAATCTTGAGATCACAATGTTAAACCACTTTTCTTTGTACACAGTACATAAAAACACTTTCAGTGATTCTGTATAAGTGCATAAATCTATCTTCATAAAAATTAAACATTTCATTTAAGCTTCAGTACACTTGACGGTCAACAGAGTATGCATGAAGCCTGCTGGCTCTGGTTTCAGAAGAAAATGAGATGCTTGGTGAGTAACAAAAAATATTCTTAATCATAGATAGGAACACAGTTTGAATGAGGATTTAAGACGCACTCAAGTGTCAGAGATGTACAAAAAAACGGACTGACACAAAAGGTAACATATGAGAAATCTTCTGAAACCAAAGTCGGTTTAATAGCCAGGTTGAGGTTTTGACTCCACCATCCCGCAACAAGCCAGCCCCAGTGTCTGGTCTTGCTCAGGTGGTGGGAAGGAGTCAATAATTGCAGTAGTGTACTGTATGTGATGGTGTATCCTACAGGTCATGTTGGTGAAGACGGAGCAAGGGATTAAAGCTTAGACAATGCGCAGGACTCTAAGGGCGAGACCAGTGAGATAAATAAAAGGACATTTTCTGTACACAGCTATTTACACAAATTAGGCTGACAGGCACACAGGAGTACCCTATAAATAAATGCAATAATTCGTCTAGACAATAAACCACCCATAAACCTGTGCAGCCAGAAATATCACACTTCATTCACAACAACACTCAGAGAAATTTCTTGGGACTCAGTCGCAGTTGCACAAATGCACACCCCATTTTCTGAATAATGTCAACTTAATAAACATCTTGCAATAATGCTGTGACATTCATTCAGACTGATTCAGCCTCTCATTTCGGTCTTTCGAGAGTTGTATTTACATGCGATTGGGGACCTACGGAGATACATGCTTCTCTTCATGTCACTGTTATGGTCTAAAACTCAGAACAACCAACATGGACTAAAATTGCAAGTTCCTAATTAAGACAATATTATGCACATTGTCATTTTGATGTCATGATTGATTTTGAAACAGCACTACTGTGGACATCATTGCATAGCCACAATAATTATTCTACGAAACTTGTCGACCTAACTACTCACTGGGATAACCTTCACGGTGGTGTCCATTGGAGCTAAACATGAAAAGAACTTGTTTTGCTACTTTGGAATATAACCTCTCCTCTGACATACCCTGGTGTGAGGATATGTTCTGTGTTGCAAATATGAGAGAACCATGTTTGACAAAGTGGTCATTACAATGATTTGCACCATCACACTGGTCATTTCTAAATATCATCAGAATATGCATCACTATGGTCTGACTACAAAAAATCATACTGGAGCAACATTCTTCCTCCCTACACATCATAGTGCACATTCTTGTTGCATGTTACGTGGCTCCTTGTCTGGATGTGCATCGTCACACTTGTGCGTACACAACACATCAAACATGTATCATTGGTCTCACCGTTTATGTTTGTTTACCCATAATTTTCTCTTGAATGAAGACTGTGAAGGACAAGTCCACTGAGATGTCTGCATATGCACAAAAGTTTCTCTCAAATCTAGTTTGAGTATCACAGTTCTTCAAATTTTCTGTCTATTAATGTCAAAATTCACAACTGTTTCAATGTTTGACTAAGTCAGTCAACACAATCACTAACACAGATAATCAAATATCCAAGCACCTGAATTCTTTCCACAACTCCACCACAGTCAACTCAAACTCGTCTACTCGAACAGTGCCAGTATATCATCTGTGTCAGGAGCGGCAGAGAGACCAGCACCAGCAGGTGTGTTGCCAGCACCCTGACCTTGTGATGATGCACCTGAAGAAGGTGGAGTGTTGTAGTCTGGTTGTTCTAGGTAGGATAACAGCTCTAGAGGGTCCATGGGATCCACACCACTGTTAAACACCTGTTGGAAGATATTTTTTGTTAGCATTATAATGGTACTTATGTGGCAATGAAATGAATGTTGGTGAAACTAAGGACTGATCATCGATAAGACATGGAAATTCCTAAAAGTAGCCAGTGTGAGCATACAATGCTTGTAGACAAATGAATTCTCTAGTAAAAAAAAAAAGGAACATGTGTATCTTTTTTCTCTTTTTTTTCTTCATAATAACAAAACTTTCTAGCTCTAACTGCATCAAGATGTAATGTACAGTACACTAAATATATCCAACTGAAAAATACTCAAAACATTAGGTCATGAACTGTGGAGCTAAAGAGAAACCAATTACATCAAAACTGATATTTGATATAAACAATTTTCAAAAGATAACGATCATCATCTTCATGTAAATGATTAAACTGAAGTCTCTATACAATTGCCGTTTAATTTCCATTTAGTTCCTTATAAATGATAAAGCATCATTAACTCTAACTCTACTCTTTAAATAAATAAAATTCACTGGAGTATAAATCTATTTGTTTACTTAATGGAATAATAATAATCAGCATTACAGCACCTCCAAACTGTTTGTGGTTATCAAACTTTTTTTTTGGTGTTGATTCTCATCCTTCGTAAAGAAAAAATCTTTGTATTTAATACTAGTTAATGACAGTAATACTGTACTTACACTCACATCCAACCCATCTTGACCTGACCCATCACCGTCTAAGGGATCAAAGCTGAGTGTCGGAAGGTCATTCATCTCGTTACAGGTGTTGTGAGTCTCCGTGGTGGTTGTGCTGCTGCTGTTATTGTTACTACTATTATTATTATTGTTGTTGCTGCTGCTACTGTTGCATGTGTTGGTGCAAGTACCTGTAATAAATGTAACATTCAATTAGGTTGGTAAATGTAAAGCTGGAATGGGATGTTAAAAAAAGAAAAGAAACAAAGAATAAGTCATAGGGATCTGAATGTCTCAGTGAATCAAAATTACTGGTAGTAGGTAGTAGGCAGCTATCAAACAGGGAGGAACTACCACCTGGGAGGTTATTGGAAGCATAATTTGTCTATGGTAGACGCTGCTGCCATATGGCATCACAAAAATTTTGACCACGTCCCAGGTTGCTGATCTGACTTTCTGCGTCATTTACACACAATTGCAGGGTTCCAATTGTTTCTCTTACTATTGACAACACAACATGCTATATATCGTTTCTCACTCTTGATTTATTTTTTCATTTGTGTACAGTATTTTTTTACGGTTATTATTAGTAGTATTTTTATTTTTTGGTTATAATTTTTATCTATTTTTATTAATTATTATTAAATATTATTATCATTATTATATTTTCGCCCCCCAGGCCCTGATGTGGGTCAGTGACCTGTGTTCGGGTGGGCTAATCCCCGTAAAAAAAAAAAAAACTTATGTGTGGAGCAAGGAAGAAATCTTTATGGTTATTTCTTATTTACCCTACTTACACAAGTACTAAAACAATTGTTTTTGTCTCAGAATGACAATAGTATTTTCAATATTCTGTTAACTTATGAAAGGCTATAAATAGTAACAAACTACTCATCAGAAGTCTTTCCTATATCCAAATTGAATGTAAAAACATTTCTTGTTATGTTTACAAGTTATATGAATATAGACAGACAAACATGTTAGACAGAGATCCACACACATCTGGACAGTGCTCCATACTGTAGCCATCATTTCACACTTAGAAAAAACTGAAGCAGCAGAGATGAATAAACAATACTAATCCAAGAATAACAAGCTACTACGAGAAAAGAATAACCACATGACAGCACTGGGGTATAGTTTGAAGGAAGTCACTAATGTAATACAGATTAAAGTCTATTAATGGGGTTATGGCAACAGAATGTAAGGGTACAATTATTGTTAATGGTGAAAATCTGCTCTGCAATATTGTTTACTATAAAAATAATGTATACATTGAAACAGTACAGTAAAATGGTAAAATTTAGGTGCTCTTTAAGACCTGAGGAATGGTGAGCTATGATGCATTATTGTTGACAGGATTTTAATTTTCTTAACTATCTTTCCAGCTGATGCCCTCTGTTGAGCAGTTCTTAGGACTATGCATACCAAGAATAGGAGCTGTGGTCCATCATGCCCCCATGGCAAGTGGGGACTGATATGAAGATTAACCAATGGACAAGGCATGAACAGCAACAAGAGGTGCACAACTGTAGGATTCTCTAAAAAACAGGATTACAGGATGATTCCTCCATTCACATTCTTTGGCTTTGACAAGGTTATAGAATTAGAAATATTAGGGCCTGATGGAAAAGTTTATTGTACAGTACTTTGTGCCTAAAACCCAAATTCAATTTTTTTTTTCCTCAGGCCTTCCTGAACACACAAATTCCTGTTTCAGTGAGTATTTCAATATGCATATCTATGGGTGTTACCAGTGAAAGCTTGGTTCTTAGCCATCTTCTTCTGTTATACATGAAACATCCATACACATACAGTATTATGATCATACTTGAAAGTATAGAAAGGGATTAAGACGACTTCCAAATTAACTAAACTATTCAACATCTATTTTCAGAAGTCTATACAGTAGATCACTTCATAGCTTCATACTTTCAGATGAATAAATCTCCATACAAGCTTACCTGCAGATGGGACACTAGGGGGACCTCCCACCCCACCAGGAGTATGTGGAGTGTGAGGGGTGTGAGGAGTGTGTGGGGTGTGGGGCATGCCAGGCCCACTGCTCACACTCGGCTGTGGAATAGAATAATTCATTGATTGAATTAGATTGTAGGATAATTTTTTATTTTTGTTTGCCCATCTTTGTTGCATATTACTATGCACTGCAGTCTTTTATTTTTTGACAGGCTTTAATGAAAAAAAATTAATAAAAAACAAAAAATTACAGAGTGAATTTGAAAAGTATATACTGTACTATATTGTACAGTACTGTACTGTACTGTACTGTACTGTACTGTACTGTACTGTATTATACTGTACAGTACTGTACTTGATCAAGATGTTTATTTTACTGGTGTAGTCATAAGTTTTTAAGAAAATATTTTTAAGCTAACTTCATGTGAATGCTAGTGAACAATTAAAATTTTAAGTCATGCTCTATAAGGACCTACCTGTGTTGTGGTTGATGCTGGGGTAGTGGATGTTGTTGTGGCAGTGGTGGTAGTGCACAGTGGCTGTGAGGAGGACACAGAGGTGGTGGTGGAGGTGGAACCTGTGGTTGGGGCAGTAAGAGTACAGTTGGAGGTAGTGGTGGAGGTGGATGGTGGAGGTGGCCCCATTTGAGGGACCATTTGGTCCTTGACAGACTTTTCCATGGCACCCAGAGGATCCATTTTGCTGACAGATTCACTGAGCTGAGAGAGAGGTCCTCCCCCTCTCGTAAAGTCTGGTGAACTCAAGTCAAATTGGGAAGTGGATCTGGACATACCAGAACCACTACTACTATTATTACCCATGTTCATCATGTTCATCATAGAGCCATTGTTGATGCCTGCAAAAGAATAGTTATCATTACACCCATACATCCAAATCAAGTGCATAAATTTTAAACTATATTTCTGAGACTGAAAACCAGTACAGAATATGACAGTAACATAAAAAGGGTATTCAAACATACATACTTATTAATCAGTATTCATTTCACAAAATAGATTTTCTAGATCATAATTTTTTTGTATAATATACTTGTTACCTCTTAAGAGAAGTGCTAATTCTCAGACTTACTATTCATATCAGGTGGAACATAAGGGCTCATGGACTGCCCCATGTCAATGTTGCTCATGGTTGGTAGGGTCATGCTGCCTGGAGACATGGCCTTGTTCCATCGCTTCATGCATGTGTCGGAATCCTCATCTTTCACCCCAGGAGTGCCTGGCATACCTGACGAGTTCATTGCTTTCCAAGATGCCGAAGAATCCATGGTTACTTCATCCACAGGAGAGTTAGCTAGGGTAGTTATAATTCCCCATATGTACTGGTCAACTTCTAGTCCTTCCAAGTAAGCTGTTTTGCTGCAAGAAAGACAGGTGTTCTGTTAGGTTCTTGTTTCTTCAATTTATCAGAATCAAATTTATTACAATATATAAATATTAAAGACATATTAATTTTAAACAGCAAAGCAAAAATTATTACTCTGAATAGTAAATATTTTACAATTACAAGTAACAAGTTGATCAATTAAGACGTACTTGCAAACTGGACATCGCCATGACCCTCTTTCACAGTTCATCTGAAGGTATGACTCAAGATCAAAACACTGTATATGCTTGCAGTCATGGCCTCTGGCAGGCAATGTTATTCGCTTGAATGTGATGGGACACTTGAGGGATATCTTGATAGCAGTTTGTTCCACACCATCACCTTCTGAGCTATTTAAAGAACCACTTGAGGCAGCAACAGAATTAAAGTTTCGCTTGATTTTAGTAACACAGTGTTCAGCAGGTAACATTCTCTTCCGTAACAACCCTTGCAAGACAGACCTAACACTTGGTCTGTGTACTAACTGAAGTACGAAGAGATGAGACTGGAAAGAGATATTATATTAATATTACTCTGTGAATCATATCTTACCTAATTATACAAAGCATGTGGGGAATGCATGCCTGTCATAATTTTACATGACATAAAATAAACTACAGCAATTTTGAAAAACATTACTTACACAGCAACAAGCAGTGACGGTAATTTGGATGGTGTTTCTTCCTGGCTGACACACAGCTTTAATATATAGTGGTTTGTGTGAAGTTTTCTGTTCTCCACGGTCGATACTGAGAGGAGTAGCATTGACGGAAACCTGAACACTGGCTGGCCAATTTGTGTTCATTTGTCGGTCTTCATGATGGAAACATTTTAACTGCAGCTCTAAATCTGATCTGCAGAAAGTAACCACAGAACTATTTTAGTATATATTCCTAAATAAATCATTAAACCTGCAAACTGATTTCTTGTTGCCACTGACGACATCTTTTCCAAACAAACATGTCAATATGAACATTACTGAAATTATAACAACAATATCAACAATTTTCTTTTATTTATAATTATAGGGCCTCCCATCAAAAAGACAATACTGTACTATATGAGTGTGAAATCTAAAAGGCAATAATTCAATGGCAAACATCATACCTGAACATTAGGGTTTGATACACAGTGGGTTTGAGGTGGAAGACATGATTGGAAACGGCTAAGTTATGCTCCAATCTGAAAGGCTGTAGAACAATCCCATCTCGAACAGGAAAGGTGAGCCGTAGTTCATCATCTTCTGTTAAATAACAACAGTGTACAATCAATATACTGTACAGCAAAAGTCTCAAAGGTTTTTTCAAACTGCAATGTTAAGACATAGTTTGATTGGAAATGGCTAAGTTATAACTTGGGCTGATTTAAGAAGGCTAAGGAACTTGGTGCATATAAAATATTCCAATTAACTGGAATTGGAGTTAACTTGATGGAATAAACTCACAAAACAAGCGCTATTGTACTTTTAACATGTGAGGGACATTCATCCAATGATGTGGTGTCACAGTTTCCAGAAAATTTAAATCAGAAAGTGGTATATGACAGCTACAAGACTCGCTTTATTTTTGCTTTTATTTTTTTGAGGTGGAATGCAATTTTGTGAAATAGTAACAGGTTTTAAAAGTAACAGGTTTTCATAAGAATATTGTAAGAGAAAATCATGTACACTGTATTTACAATTTTAGTATATTTTGAAACAAAACAATATGACATGAGATTATCATTCAGGGACATTCAGGAATAATTTACAGAGTTAAAATTGGACATCAAAATGATAAGGTATACATTAACTATGTTAAGCTAAAATGAGTATCAAATAAAAAATATGAATTCACTGCCTATATGGATGATGATGTAAGGTGGGAAACATTCAAAAGAAAAGAAGACTGAGCTTTAGATAAGCTACATGCTTAAATAATCATTTTTTGTTACCTTTTCCCCTAGTATTTATAAGAATATTAATTATCATTTCTACTCTGAAGGACTGTATTATTTGGCACCTAAGAATAAAATACACTGCATAAGACATTATAGGAAAAAAGTAAAACTTGGCTAAATTTTATAGCAACCTTTCATATTGTTCTTAAAGTAAAACAACTTCTATACAAGGAAATAAGCCATCTGCAGAATATTCTACACCTAGAAGTAAGTGGTTTATTGACTTGTGTTGCTATATCATCTCGGACTGGCTATCCTTTATTTTCTGCACGCACCTACAGTACTTCTTTCAGGATGGAAATGGTATACAAGGTATAGCTCTTTTATTACCCTTCTGAAAGCCTTTTACCTCTAAAACTATGAGGGGATTCTACAGAAGGTTAGGCAGCCAATTTTTTGCCCTCATCCTACAACTTCACCCAGCGGCTCCTGGTCACTCCAACTCCAAGGGTCCCTACCCACACTGGTATTTTTCATTACCAAATTCATGCAAATTTAGTAAGGAAATATCCATTTGGTATTAAATGAAAATGACTTGGTATTGTATTAGAACTGAAAAGATTCAGTTAACATATATGATCATAAGGGTTAGACTTGGAGGAGGGCAGTGATGATTTTGTTGCCAGGTATGACTGAATTACAAGGATTACCGATTCAGTCTAAACAACTATATTTACACTTCATTTATATAAAGGTAAGTTATCAGGCTATTTGCTGTTTTTCTTAACATAAAAAATGTTTTATTGTATCTTAAAAAACTGGGTTAAGAAACACTCAATTTGGTAATGAATCACGGAGGATCTGGTAATGCCAGTAAAATCAGACTTGGTCGCTGTACCACCCTTAAAATGTAGGTGCCAGATACGGCTGTTTGAACTAATCATACTGAAAACCGTGACATCAAATCGTTGGATGACTGTACATTAAATGGTTGGTGAAAAATGTTCTTGGTATAATTATATACAGTAAGTGTTTTCCCCAGATAAATAACCTATAATTAAGATAAGACGGACAAAATAAAATCTGATGGATAAACTTACTTTGAAGCATTAAAGGTTTTAACTCTGACAAGTCAGGTTTAACATCCCCTTGATTGGCATATGGTGGGCTCATATATGGTGTGAGGGGGGGAGTGGGGTTGCCAGGAATCGGCGAATGCTGATAGCTCCCACCCACATTCCCTACATTTGCAGAACCTGGTGCTGTACTCATGCTCCTGTCAAGGTATAAGGACCAAATTAGTACAGTATATAAAGTATAATATACTGTATACAGAATATAATTTTCATTATATATTCTAGCCAAGATGAGTAGCTAAAGGGAAAATTAATACACTTTATGGTTATTCCTGTCAATAAGCATAAGGACCATTTTAGTATAAGTAATATCTCCATTAGCCGGAATCCCTCAAACCCGGAACTCTCCAACAGCTGGAATTTAAATTTTCTTGGAAAATCGTTCCCAAAGCCGGAATTTTCCAGAAAATTCCAACTTTGAGAACGATTTTTCGAAGGGCACATTTTCTGGAAAAATCCAAGAAAATTTCCCCGATACCTGGGTTTGAAAGATGAAAATCAGGTGCGTTTTCTGGAAATTCTGAGAAAAATTTTCTGGTAACCGGAAAATTCCTAGGATGGGGGATATCTTTTTGGATTCAAGAAATGATGTAATGGGCAATTTCTGGAACTTCCGAGAACATTTTTTCCGTTATTCGGAAAATTCCAGAAAATTCCAAGGATGAGGGATTTCTTTCCGGCTTTGAGAGCGTTGTCTCATTACCCAGAAATCTCTCATTCCTGGAAGTGCTCTGCACTAACTGTTCCGGCTAACGGAGATATCACTGTATTGTATTTATCAAAACTTATGAATCAGGGAAATAATATTAAAAGATGGACAGACAGATATGAAGTTATACTTTCTACTGTCATTACTGGGGGACACTAGGCACAAAACACATATTTCCTATCTATAATATTTTTTCTTTAAATAAAAAAAATCTTCCTGTATCAAATTTTCTCTGATACAATCTTCTACAGATTTAATCACATACAGTATATGGCCTTGTTCTTAAATGCCATTTATCCCTTCATTCCACTAGGAACAATTTCCTTTCTTATTTCATCAAGTCACTTCTCAATTGTATACGACCTCAGCTGCTTTCAAGGTGCTGTCACCAAAGAATCTCCCTTAATTTTGAACAGTTAGCCAAACACTTGACAGTGAGATAACAAAGCAGTATCTTGAAGATAGTTGTCTTACCTTGACATAGTGTTCATCCCAGAGTTCATACTACTCATCCCAGAGTTCATGTTACTCATTCCAGAGTTCATGTTGCTGACAGCATTGGTGTTTTGACTGGTCATAGTCATGGCACTTGGCATGGTGCCTGTCATACCACTGTTCATCACACTATTCATACCACTGTTCATATTAGTCATTCCTGTATTGTTCAAAGTATTCATCCCTGCACTATTCATACTGCTCATGCCAGTATTCATATTGTTCATCCCTGAACTCATGGCGGAGTTCATAGCACTGCTGCCACCTGGAGGCATGCTGGTCGAGCTCATTGTGGGCATTGACATGGACATAGACATCTGGGTCATAGTGTTCATCCCACTGCCCATGCTGCCGGACATACTGTTCATTCCATTCATACTGTTCATTCCGTTCATATTCATGCCGTTCATGGGACCCATTGGGCCCATCTCGTTGTACTGTAAGTTGTTGTACTGCTGATTATAAAACTGGCCCTGGTTGAAGGGTGGACCACCAGGAACACAGGGCCCACCTGGCCGCATGTTTGGCCGCATACCCTGACCTGGCGGAAACTGGGAAGGCAAGGGCTGTTGTACTGGGTATCCTGTACCACCACGGATACCTGCTAGACCCATCTGTGGAAAACATTAGCGTATTAATACCTTGAGATATAAACAATCACAATGAAAACAAAACAATTAAATATAATAAATCCTATTTAACTTAAAAAAAATTAAAGCCCAAAAAGATATTAATATTTTTGGAACACATTATAAATATTAGACTTACATAGGAATGTATATCAATGTCTTTGGATGAGAATAACGAAAATAAACTAGATATTAGATGTAAAATACCCAATGCAACCTTTAAAAAACTACTGACATTACAACAGTAGAGTCAACTTACTTTTAATAATCTTGAACAGAAAAAACTACACTGCCAAGTTGCTCATTATACATCTTTGGAAGTTACTAAAAGAGTCTACAATGCAGTGTATTAAGCTACAATATATTGTACATAACATTACAATAATTTCTTATAAATTAACCTTATAAGTCATCTCAAACTAACCATCAAATGGTTCATACAATTTATAGGGAGAAAATTGCAATAATTCATTGCAGTAATGGAGTGAGAAGGATGAGTGTCAGCTGATTTTTACTCAAGAAGGAAGCTTTTATGGTATAGACAAAAAATTACAATAGTGTGCAGTACATGTATATCATAAGTAATGTACAGCACAATGCAATACTTCATTTGTTTTGGGGAATCCAAACATTTCAGAAGTACAGTACTGTATTTGCTCTAGGAATCTAAATATACTTGAGAAGCATATACAGGTACTGCATGGCAGTATTTAAGTGTAGATTATTTTAGACGTACTGTACAGGTAATTGTCCTGAGGGTTCAAATATTTGAAAGTGTTTAAGGGAAGGAGACACATTTTCTATTTGAAACAATTTGCTGTCAAGGTCCAAATACTAGGGGCTCCAAATTTGTGACAATTCAGTTAAGAAAAATTCCATGTCTATAATGTCTCGATATGCAAATGAAACCTTTTACCAGTGTTGTATTGTACTGTAGACTCTCTGGCATAATTACTGTACTAACAACTGTGAAAGCATTTCAGCTAATAAAGTTTTCAGTAGAAATCATTTAATTGTATAGAAATTCCTCATTCTTTAAAGAAAAAAAAACAGTTCATGAGAGGACAGCAACTACTAAATGTATATACATCTGATTATGGAAAATTCATGGACATAATTACTAAAGGAATCTTAATTTATAATTATGTCATGCTATGTAAAGGGGATACTTTTATAAACCTGATGATGTACTAAGAGAACATACTATTCAAGTGAAGCAGGTCCTGGAACATACGACTATCTAGGTGCTGGCACATACCTGGGGGTTCATCTGACCCATCTGGCTCATGGGAGGCTGAGAGTACTGGCCTTGGGCCGCCGCTCGTTTCTGGGCCATGAACATAGCCGCGTTGGGGTATGGCCCAGTGCGCCCCCCGCCAGGGCCACTGCCTGGGCCCATACCTCGCTGGTACATCATTTGCTGCTGTTGCTGTGGGGTGAGGTCAGAGGTAAGATGAGGCTATGGTGGTGGTGAGGGGATGGATTATGGGGAGGAGATGGGGTGGTGGAAATGGGAAGCTAAAGGAGGGTACATGGTGGGTGGGAAGGAGATGGGGTGGTGGAAATGGGAAGCTAAAGGAGGGTACATGGTGGGAAGGAGATGGGGTGATGGAAAGGGGAAGCTAGAAAAGGGCACACTTATAAAATATGTATACAGTATACATGTAAAAATACTTATATTGATTAAAGGTCTAATTCTTGCAGATAAACAATACTGCCATGGCAATGGTGCAACTCACCTGCATGTTCATACACTTGCCCATGCTAGGACCCATACTCTGCATGTTGTTCATGGGTACGTTGTTCATCATGTTGCCTCCCATGTTGTTGATCATGTTGTTCATCATGTTATTCATGCCATTCATAGGATTGTTCATGTTCATGTTGGGCGTGGACGGCCGTTGCATGGAGAACCCTGGACCCGAGAATCCTGCATTGATGTTCGCCATCTGTAAGGGAGGACAAGATAGTCAACATACTGTAGGTGTTAAAGGACAACTGGAAGTCATGCTCAGGGCTCGCCTCGTTGTGTCCAATTCTTCTTCCCAGTTTTTCACTCAGGTATCTCAGACTAATCTCCAAATCGCATAATGCTTTATAGTTGTTTGTCAGTATTTCTCTCTTTAAATCCAATAAAATACAACCCCCCAATTCATTTCAACATCAGGTTCTGACCTTAAATACAGTACAGCACATTAAGTTTGACGAATTTAATGATCTCGGGCCTCGTCGGTTAACAAACCTTCATATTATACAAAAAAAAAATTGTGTTAAACCGAATATATGGAAATATATTCGGTGACCATATGGATTAAAGATAACAGCCATTTGTTAACAACTTAATGTCTTTGCAATGTTTACATGTGTAAAGATTTGAAACATGCATGTTTAAAAGATGGCACGAGACTCACGACAGTGTGAACTTGATCCATTCTGAATAAAAGTTCTTAAAGTTAGGATAAGATCTGTAAGAGTATTTTCAAATAAGGTCTTTAAGCCAGCATTTCAAGTAGGTCCACACAATAGACATGAACTTTTGCAAATTACCAAGAGCGCACCTGGTGTTGATGTTATAATGAACTGCGCTTAAACAAGTCTTTAAGCCCATACTCTGGTCATCAGCAATTCAAAACTTAAAGATATATCTAGTTAAAAAAAAAAAAGGCCCCTCTCCCCCTGAACGCGGCAATTGACTGCTGACCTACCGGGAGCCATGAGGGAGGGAGACTACAGTAATTCTACGGCCTCCACTCGGCGCGCTTCACTACCTGAGACCTCCACGAATCGTTGGTCCTGGACGTTTTATTGACTCTGCTGCCGATACACCACAGCCACTGTTGGGGGTCGAGGACACACACACACACACACACACACACACACACACACACACACACACACACACACACACACACACACACACACGCACGCACGCGCGCGCGCGCCTTGGAGAAATAACTACTGTAAATAGTGTATCATCGACTTCAGAGGTATATTTTCACTTTCCATTTTTTTATAATCGGTTCTGTTGTTTCGTAATCCTTATTTTGTAGAATCACGTCTTTTCTTCTAGTTATTGATCAATATTTTTAACGGAAAAGCGAAAATTTCACCGATCTCATTTGTAATAAGTTTATAATTAAGAGAATGAGACGGTATAATTCTTATATAAATCAAAGTTTTTTTTTAAAACTAATCTCGAGTCAAAGGAAGTGTGGGAAAGAAGGACGCGACCCCCATCACAAGGAGAATGAATAAGCTCCCCCTTTCTTTCATCCTAGTTAAATCTGACTTTCCCCGTGATGAGCGCGCGGCGGAGTATCTTAGGGCAGAAATTGGTCCAATAAGCGCGCCCTCTTATTTCATCCTGGCCCGGGAGGCAGAGAGGCGGTCGGCGGGGAACAACGCGAGCCATTCTCCCCTTTAGCACCTCGGGCAATATGGCCAATCATCGAATGCTCTCAATACCCAACGCGTCTTCAAACTTTCCTCTTTCCAGAAACTAACATGCAACATTTTGGGGGTAAAATTGGGGAATGTTCTCTCTGCCAGGGGGTTTCCGTCCTTAATCATTCTTGACGGAGTGACCATTTCTTGCTGGGTGAGGGAGGTGGGTTAGCGTCCTCAGTCGGAGTGATATCTTATTCATGAGGAGTGCGTCTAACCTCCTTGGATTAGGAAGGTTCCTAGCAAGGAATGTTAGTTAATGCCTAAAACAATGTAGACAAACCTCACGCAATAAGCTAATCGAGAGAACTTATCAAAGTAATAAGCTCAATATCATCAGACCTTATTTTAAATAAAGTTCACCAATTTACCGTGTAAACGTAAAAAAATCACCTTATCGTATTCCAAATATATGAAGAAAAATTTTTTATTTTTTTTTTATTTACTCTAATAGGCGAATATACGCAATAAAAAAATTACAACGAAACACAAAAATGCATTTCGAGAGGAAAAAAATCCCTCTTGATTGGTTCCTATCAGCACAAAATAATACTTAAGTTATCAGTCGTAAAAAATAAAAATTCTGAAACTCATTAACGATTTTAATTACACAACGCAGGAAGGGCTGACTAAAATAAATCATTCATATATCAAATACACCGTAATATCATTCACAGAAGCACTGCATCAGGTCCGCGTTTTATTACGAAATTTCTACAATTATGTTTATCATATAACGTAAATTTTATAGAAAGATAGATGGATTTATTTTCCCTGCATATATTATCTTAACGGACACAGAAGGCCAATATAAAATATTTTTTACACAAGCACAACATAACAAAGGGAAACTTGGCTCACACAATCAAAATGTAAAATGGGTACAAAAAAACATAAAAATGATTCACACATTTAACAAAAGTAAAACATGAAAAAATATACCAGAAAACTTGGCTCTCACAATCAACAAAAGTAAAAACAACCTTCCTCCTCTTCTCCGTCCTCCTTGGAGCCACAATAACTAAGCTAAAATGATGCCGTGTATGCAAGAGGCAACATAACTTCAGTCTGGGAGAAACAAGAGAGAGAAATCTCCCTGCCGCTCAACTTGAAATTTCCCCACACCAGCCAACCTTCCTACACTCGTATCACCGTTTCCTTGTGTTTTCCGCCGAGAACACAAGGAAACTTTCAGCAGAGAACACATTGATTTTTAGTAGATAATAATGATTTTTCAGCACAACGCGTTAATGTTACGTAGGAGACGTCAATTTACAGCAACGAACAAAAATTTTCAGCAGAGAACAAACTAACTTCCAACTTAGATCAAGGCTAATTTTCAACGGAGAACATATTGGAACTAGCCACCCACAACAAATAGGTACATTTCACCGAGAGCACAAGAAAAGCTTTCTGGGGAGAACTTGGCAAATTACTTACGTTTTAGGTATTCTCCCTCTCTCAAGTTTCCACGCGCCGCTTGTAATTCAACACCCTTTTACTTCTGAATATTATTATTACAGCCGTCCATCCCTGAATTACCTACGTGTTGGTGCTCTCTTTTACTCTAACAGGTTTTTTTTTTAACATTTTTTTTTGAAGAACGAAGCAAATGGCTTTTCCCGTAATAATAATAATAATAATAATAATAATAATAATAATAATAATAATAATAATAATAACAATAATAATAATAATTCTGTTAGCTAGAGTAATAGTTGCCACTACTCATAACAATGTTTGTGTAACTTTAATATTTCAGTCAATAAACATTACCTATAGTAATGATTTTGTCGCATCTCTGGGAGCCCTCGCTAATAATTCTTCGCGAAATTATCTTCACGAAATTACATTAAATTAACTATACCTGTATATCACATGACTATACAGTTCATATAATTCGCTTTGATTACTGATTAACCTACAGTATTTTACGACGGCTCAATTCAATTTCAATTTCAATTGTTTATTCCTTGATAGAGGAAGCGGGATCCTAGTGCTGTCACTAGGTACCCCTGTACAATGACACCAGAAGCATCTGGCAAGTGTGACAAGTATATACAGTATAAATATTATAAAGGGGCTTACTAAAGCCTAAGGAAGGAAGGATATTCCTTTAACACATAATCAATATTATTTACAAATATCTGGCCAGTATGGGGAGGATCATCATGTCTCCGTCAGGGGGTCGTGTTACGACGGCTCTAATAATCAAAGCGCGACAAGTGAATTACTTGCAAGACTTTACTTTTCACCAAGTAGTAATAAACGGGTCAATAATTCATAGATGATATAAAAGATGCACGGACAATAGAGGCCAGAGATTCCGATTCCAATAGTGGACGGCAAGATATTGATTCACTCCCCCCACAGTCTTATGGACAGCTATTGCGAGGCTATCAATACTATTAGACTAGCATAGCAGCTAGCCGAAGCGTATTATTAAGCTCACTGCTAGACCATGTAATTAATTATGCAGAAATTAGCGTAGCCCTAATTACAGCAACAGAGGGTTCCGCAATTAAATACTTTGGCTGCCAGACGCGCGATAACAAACGTTCTTTTACCTTCGCCTTGCCGTCTCTAATAACATCATAGACGCTCCAATTTCTTAATATATCAACTTTCCCTCTCACTTACCTGCTTCATTTGTTGCAATATAATAATATTCTTGTGCCAAAAGAGTAAATATATAAGGCAGGATAAACTGTGACCGTTTTGCCTCGTCAGAATTCCCGTACCCAAGTCTATGAAATTAACTGCACCTCTAAACATTTTTATTTTTCATTTTCCCGAGGCGGAGAATTTGATGCGCGTTTTAGATTGAGTGAAAAATGTACAACACATGATTTTTTAAACTGGAGAATGACTGCAAATAATGCATAAATAATAAGTTAGGTGCAAACTGTTATTTCAGATATATTAACGATATTTGTGATATTTTTTACAATGAATACAGTCGACATATTATTCTGATGATGAAACAAATTTTGTTATTCCTTAGAAGGGCATGTTATAATTAATCGGTCAACGTTATAATCTCCTAATCACAAAACACATTTTTAAAGGTCACTCAAAACTGCCATTATAAAAAATACGTAGCCTATTCATGGAAATATTTATCAGACAAACAACCAAACATTTCAGACATATTCGCTGATATCACTCTTTTATATAAAGCATTACAGCAGTTACATACAATACTTCTTTCTATTTATTGAATTAATAAAGCTTACGTAAATTATTAAAAGTTGCAAAGTAAATAAAATAGTTTTTCATGTTTATTTTACCTGAAACAACAAGACCTATGGACAGCCGGCCATCCACTCACACTCTGGTAAAACAGTATTAACTTCCCTGATAATGAGACAGTAGTTGACGCCAGATACTATGAGTGACAAGGACTGATAATAAGTTGTGTTAGCGTTGGCTGGTCAACCGGTTCTCCCCATGTCAGTCAGTCACAGTCAGTCAGTCAGGATAATTGTTCATAACCGCCAGACGT